ACGCATAAATTAAAAGCTGGAATTGCCTATTCTGATACTACAGTCTCAGCTGTATGTTATAGTTGAACTGGGATGTTATTTGTTCCCAGGGCAAAATGCATGCAATTTGTGATGCGCAGTCGGCTTAAAAACATCGCTTACGTGATATTGGCTTCGATTGTCTTCCTCCCCAAGTCATCACACGAAGAGAACAGCGAGACATTGTTTCCAAATTCAACATGAAATGTTGGACTATCCCCAGCTTCAAGAGAAACACGGACCAGATATGATTTGTTTACTTCACCAGGCTTCAGCATTGGGTCATCGACGAATGTAAGATTTTTGATGTCAACAACTACGGTTACATTTTGGCTTGCATTCACCGAGTTAATATCGTTGGACGCTGTTACCGTTAATGTATGGTTGCCTGTTAAAAAGAACATAAATTTATTAAAGTGCCCCTGACACAAAAATTTTTTTTCAGTCTATTGAAAGTACTCATTTAGTATAGTGTTCTAGCGAAAGAATTTTTCGATTTCATCAAAACGAAAAATTTTTAGAGCCGTTTGAACACGCAAAATTTGGGCTTTTGGTTGGCAGGCGTCCGTGTTCGAAGGAAACTGGAACGAGCGATTTTTGTTACGTCACGCAAGTGAGTCGGCGTATATTCTATTATTCGACTATACTAGCACTATAAACTCTCGGCGGATATATAGGTAGATTTGTGATCGAAAAAGATATGCCTTTTTACTGTGTTGCAGTTAACTGTACCAATAAAGCATGTTTAAAAGATGGAATAAGTCTACACAATATTCCATACTTCAATGACGAATACGCGGAAGCTAAAAGACGAAGAAAAGTATGGGTTGATTTTGTACGCGCAAAGCGTTTGTTTGTGCCGTCAAAGACTTCGACTATATGCTCGGATCATTGTAGAACAGAGGATTACGAGAGGCAATTTTTTTCGTTGCCAGTGCTTGGCAAGCCTAACTATCTGATCATGAAACTAATAAAGACTGACGATGATTCGCTTTGTTTTGATGATTCAATTTGCAATTGTATTTCGGTTTTGCGGCCAGCCAAAAATATAAATATTTTGTAATACCGAAATAAAAGATGCAAATCTGAAGACACAAGCTTGAAAATAACACTCTAAATAGTGTTTCGGATTCCGGTTCGAATAAGACTATTACGAAAAAGATATGTCCAAAGGGGCCGAAGTTATGGCCGGCTAAAGGTATGGCTACTTTACATTGTTCGAGACTAATTGAGTAATATATATATGTTATTTACCGGATTGGAGGTCCGTATAGAGAAATATTTCTCGAGGTCTTAAAAACGGCCCGAGGCCGAAGGCCGAGGGACGTTTTTAAGACCGAGAGAAATATTTCTCTATACGGACCGACCATACCGGTAAATAATATTTTTATTTTTTTTATTTCCTCCTCTGGATTTCCCCAATCACTCCTCCCGCACGCGAATGAATCTGCCAAATAAAACGTCGTTTCTATCAATGCTATCGGGAAGAGAAATATCTTTTGTGAGATAGTAAAATTCGTTTTCACTGTGTTTTTCATCGTCTGCAGACATTTTAATGTTTTAAAAAGTAGCCTTTAAACTCGTCTTTAAATTTTGGAAAATAAAAACATTGGCTCTACGTCTTTAAATCTCGCGCGGTCCGTACGGGCTCATACGGACCGCTCACGTAGCCAATCAGATTGCAGAAAAGCGTAAAATATGACTTCGGACCGCAAGAAAAAAAATAAAATGAATTATGACACCGCTTGACCTCTCAAAGGTCATAAATAGCTATTTGACTACAATTTGACTAAAACTATATTTGACTAAAACTATCATTAGAAATAAGGAGATTTTGTTTCTCTGAATCGAATGGTAGTAATTTCGTCTTCATAGCATGCACCGAACCGGAGATATGAACCTTGCAAAGTCATAGAACGTCTACGTTAGGAGGAAGCTTATTAAAGATGCAATATGCGCCAAATCTGAGACATGGCGCGACTAAAAAACAATCGCTATAAATAATAATATAAATGGGAGACTAGTTTTACTTTGTTTTTCTCGTGTCCCTGACTTTGTTTACCAACAACAGTTTTTATCCGTGAAGTGAAACTGTGATAATAGCGGCAGTTTTTCGTCACGTCCGCGTCGCAGATTTGGTATAGAGAGTTTGGCAACCTAGAACGGCAACGACAACGGCAACGGGGAAAATATAATTGCGTATATTGTTGTATTTGAGCCAAAGTATACGTTACTACACTTACTTTGCCTCTTTAGGTATTCCTGTTTCTTTCAAACGTACCCTTAAGTAAAAATAGTCCGCGAATTCAAATAAAACACCTCAAATAACATCGAACGAATTAACCGTTGCCGTAGTCATACACCGTGAAAATATGCAAATCACGTACTAGTTTCAACAACTACGGCATTGTACAACGCTTAAGACCATGTAATTTACATTCGCCTTTGTCTTTGAGGATTAATGCTATTGTTGATGACCATATTGCCGTTGCCGTTGCCCTTGTATTTGCCAAACTCTCTAATATTAATGATACCACTAGAGACCTGACAAGATGCTACAGAATGCTACAGATCAGCATCTTCCAATACAACATATTTTAAACCAGGTATAAAATTCGCTCCGGAATCATTGGACTGATTCTGTTGATTCTGTTGACATGATACTTTATAGAACTTAGAATATAAAAAGTTAAACACTTCAGCGATCAAAACCTTCGAGCTGATTAAAACAGATAATTTAACAGGCATCAAGATTCGACTCACTTGCGTGACGTCAGAATAAATGCTAGTGCCAGACTTCTGTCGCCGACGGCCATTAGCCAAAAATATTTCGATTCAAACGGCTCTAAAATTTTTTCGTTTTGATGAAATCGAAAAATTCTTTCGCTAGAACACTATACTAAATGAGTACTTTCAATAGACTGAAAAAAAATTTTTGTGTCAGGGGCACTTTAAGGGCCTTGACACGAAACGTACGTTATTCCAAGAATACTTTAATTGGAAAGAACTTTTAAAACCATCATATAACATTCTTTCACGTTTTTCCCTATCACTTTTCGTTTTTGAGATATTGATATGCAAATAACACAATTTTCTGCGCCCCACTGCATAATGAGTTATCGTAAAATTTGAAATCTTTTTTTCATGTTGTTTCTCATGTTACTCAATGCTGGGCATGACCCAGTACCTAACCTGCGAACGGGCATACTCTGGGTACGAGATTGGATGTTACTCTGAGTGTGTATCCACACCGGGCAGGCTGAAAAGTTCGCCTGACTACGGTGGGAATCGAATTCGCGACCTTTGGGATAATAGAGAGGTTAGGATACCCCGGTTTCGGTGTACGGGTACGAGTAGTGTCATCTTGTTTTACTGATGTCTGTAATTCGATCATACTTTTTCTGTTTTCTTGCAATAGACAATGATATAATGCGAAAAATGTGCACCTTAATTACGAGTAAAGGTACAGACATCGACGAAAATATTGCTAACCAAAATCATGCTACCCGTACAAATACACCGAAACCGGGGTATCTTAACCTCTCTACTAGTATTCAGCCTGCCCGGTATGGATACACACTCAGAGTACCATCAGAAACATTATATTCACCTGAGTACATAACATCAAAACACACACAAAAAAATTTAATCTTTTCTTCGATTTTTATTTTAAGAAACTTTTTCCAGAAATAAGGTGATTTTTTAAGACTTTGTGATTTGAAGACTACTCGAGGAACAAATTTATTAAGTCATTTAAATAAAACTCCAAAGATTACTGATAATTCATGAACACATTGTGCAATATCACACATGTTGTGTCATTTATATATCAAACCAACCTCAATCTTGAAAACGCAAAAAGGAATAATTTAAGCCCCGGTCAAGGAAGGATGCATGAGAGTTGGCAGCAGTCAAACCCGCATAGTTCTAAGTATTACACCACTAACAGCAAAAACGTCCTGGGTAACAGTTTCCTATTCAAAATATTACACAAGTTTGAACGTGCCGAAAAAAAAACTTCGCTCTTTGACTCCTGAGAAAATAACTTAAAAACTGCTCTACGTTCTGGAAACATGTTTTGTATGAAATTTCAGGTATTGTTGAAAGTTTTTAGCTTTTTTCCTTTTTGAAATACAGCTATTAGTGCTCAAAAACAAGATGTCTTTTCGGAGGCGTACATGGCGGCCATCATGAGTGGCTTCAAAGATGGCGGCCAAGTTATCGTTCCAGTTCCCTTAGAGTTCACCAGGCTTTACACCACACCTCGCGTCATAAATCTACATTTTTTCACATACCTCCATCTTCGTAACTGTAATTCAAATGATTCAAGGTTGTATTTGGAAGTATAGTTCCATCGCCAGGGTCGACAGTGTAGGTGACATTTGTTCCATTGGAAACATTGAATGAAAATGAGATATTCTCAAGGGTTGGGTAGTACACGTCTGTGAAGGGCGACAAAATTTCCAGACCAGATATCCGTTGCTGTAGGAAATGAACGAGGAATTAGAAAGTTTCAATATTTCCTAGTCTACACACGTAAAAAACACACAAGTTGTTACAGGTCTGTAAACAAGTTGTTACAAATCTGTTCACAAGCTGTCGACAAGTTGTGTTCGCACTACTTGTTCCCAGTTGTTGTAACAAGTTTGGAACAAGCTGCTGACAACTTATAACAAGCTTGATGGGATTATCAGACTTGTTACAAGGATGTTCTAACAAGTCTGATACAGTCATGATATAACAAGAATGTTACAAGGTTGACGACACAAGGTTGTAGCAATATTGTTATATCATGACTGTATCGGACTTGTTGGAACAACCTTGCAACAAGTCTGATGATATCAACAAGGTTGTTACGAGTTGTTGTTCCATACTACTTTAAAGGAATACCGAATGGTTTTCCGTGCAGGATTGCGTGATCCATGCACGAGGGATGTCGCGAGACTTTCGGAAAGTGTAAAAATACTCGAGCCGCAGGTGAGTGTATTTTTACGCTTTCCGAAAGTCGAGCAACATCCCAAGTGCATTGATCACGCTATCCTGCTTGGAAAACCATTTGGTAATTGTTTTATAAAATAAATACAGTGAAACAATGACATTTTGAGAATCCCGCAAAAATCCCGTGAAAGCATTTTAATTCCTCGTGCAAGACAGCCTGATCCTGCACGGCTATTGACCAATCAAATTGCGTGTTTCACTGTAGTTATTATATAATATCTTATACCTGTACTTCAACCGTCTCTCTAATTTCTTCAAAATCCAATGCAGGCAAGCTGGAAACGTTATATGCCAAATACACCCTCGGTAACTTTGGTTCAATGGGGATATTCAGTGTGACAGGGGTGGTCATATAAAATCGGAAAGAAATCAACATAATATTATGCTTGGTGGCGTTCGAGACCATGATGTTATCATCAAAGCCAAATCTCTGACCACAGTAGAACAATATGTAGGAGCCATTATGTTGTGAGGTAACAACGGTTGCTATGGATGTCACGTGGAAGGCAATGACGTCACCACGCTTGATAGAGATTGGTTTTGGAAGTGGTTGAAGGAAGAGCTTGGAACTTTTGGTCGTGTTTATAGTAAATTCTGAAATAATTTAGAAACACACAATTAAAAGATCTGGTATTCAGTAAAGGTATTCATTTGGTAGAATCCGACATCCGGTAACATTTGACCGAATATAGTTGGGGCTTGCTACGCCATGAATGTCACCAAAACCAGGAATGGATTCACTGTGGGGCACTGGAAAAAATTTTGAAAATCCATAGGTCATAGAATGGAAATTGTATGGACCTTTATTGGAAATAGAATGGATTTTGGTTATCCATAATAATTGTATATTTCCATACTATGGATATAGTATCGAAATAGTATTATAAAATAACATGTATATAACGCGTGTTCTGATTGGTCGAAAGCCGTGTTTGGATCAGGCCATCCAAACACGGAAGACTATCGTGTCGTTGTTATTTTATAAAACAATTACTTTATGGTTTCCGTGTTTGGATGGAATGATCCAAACACTTGGGAATGTTGCTCGAGTTAAGAAAAGCGGGCAAAATCACTCGCCTTCGGCTCGTGATTTCGCTCGCTTTTCTTAACCCTCGCAACATTCCCGCGTGTTTGGATCAGGCCATCCAAACACGGAAACCACAAAGTAATTGTATATGGATATACTATGGATTAAGTGGTGCAATTGCAAATTTCGTAGTATGGATTTCACATTTTTTTCCAGTGGGGGGTGGAGGGGTGTGTGCTATTTTTCATGATAAATAAAAAAATATTAGAGACAAAATGAGATACAGTAATTGAGAGTAATAACATGATGATAAGCGAACTGTGAACAACAATTACAATCCAAATAGAGTAGTCAAGCAAAACTTTGCAGTAGTGAAGCAAGTTGATGGGTGGGCGGCGTACATGACCGACACAACTCGGCACCAGAGCACCCC